TATATATACATAATAAAAAATCACGTTTAGTTTCCATAATTGCGTAAATTATAAACATTTGCATCATCATTATTATTATTAGATCAATTAATTTCTTTTTCACGTTTTATGATATTTATCTTAAAAAAAATATTCTTGACTTAAATAGGCCTATATGACCTATTTATAAATGAATGTCGTTGTAACCTTGTACTTCAATCTTTCGATGCAAATAAAATATTATGAAACTGTTTCGCCTTGGGGAACATTCGATATGAGCTTATTAGAAGTTATAAACAATGAGTCGAATCTTATCTCACAAACTCATTTAAACGTAAATTACTAACAATTATCTATACTCAAAGTTTAACTAAAACGATTTGCACCAAAGCGATAGAATCAATTTATTTATAATAAAATAATACAATGACTCATTTTTCTCAATTATTTTTTACTAGTTCTTAATAGTTTTATTATTATTTCTGATGTTATTCACTGATTCTTACTGACGATGCTATTATTTTTTGACTACTGACTGTGTTTACTGATTTTTATTGACTTCGGGGCGATTAAGCAATTAAATAAGTATAAGTAGTTGTCTTTATTGCAAAATTCGATAAAGCTGTAAATCGTCAATCAATTCATATATGATTTTAGCTGATTGAAAATCAAATGCGCCTAATCAAAGATCAATTGCGAGGACAAATTCTTGCATATCTTTAATAATTTCGAAAATGCATGATGTGATTTTTAGTGAGAAATGATTATCAATTAGATATCGAATCGAAATCATTGTATCGATGTTAACTTGCTAATAATTTAATAAGTTATTTTTCACTAGTTGTTATGGCTTTAAATGCCTTTAAATGATTATAACTATCGAATTATAATAATTTTTAATATTAGATATATTATTTAACATATACTTTCTACATATAATTTATTTTAATTACTCTTCTGTTCTCTTTATATATTTTAATATTAAACAAAACAAATATTAATATTATAAAGCATACAAATTTAAAAAAAAAATAATTGTGCAGCTGTCATAGCAGAAACACATTTTTTAGGAATGATTTAAATCTAAATATTACATACTTCTATCATTTACAATAAAATAATTAATGTCAACTAGATGTAACCCTGCGTTTTAAGAATATTATTGAATTACTGAAGATGGCCAGATTGTGGCCGAAACGTTTAATGTTTTAATTAATGTAATAATAATTAAATATCACAAACTATAACTTGTGCTGTGGTTTTTTATGCTCTTATTTTGTATATGTGTTAATAAAATAATTCTTTATTTAATAATAAAAAAACAATCTATATTTATAGCTTGTATTCTGAAGTAATAAGAGTTACACATTTATAAATTAAAGTTATTACAATAGAATATAATTATATTATATAACTAATCATCATAGTTTACTAGTTTCTTAGTCATTTCTTTCAAATCTTTTCTTGAAATTTTCCCTGAACCTGTATATGGAAAACTATCCAGAAATATAACTCCTGCACGTAGTTTACATCGATCTTCCATGTTCTCCGCCACAAAGTCTATCAGTTCCTGTTCTGTCACCTGTACAAAGAAATTGAAAAACATTAATCCAGTACATAAAATATTTCCTGTTTTATACTAAAACGTAATATATAAACATAACAATAATCTTGAAGCTATTTCTTCCTTCACGATTCATTCTTATCAAATCTTTATTTCTTTAAATTCTTAAACTGATTTATTCATTGCACTTTAATTTTGATCGAATTAATATGCAAATATTTTCAATTTGTTTTTTAATTATTTTAATCACATCAAGATCTTTATTTCTATAAATGTAATTCTCTTTCTAATAGACATCTATTAAATATTTTAAGAAAATATTTGACAGAATACTCAAAATCGGCTCGCTATTAGAAATATTCTGATTTTATTTTGTCAACCTTTATTTTATGACTTTATTATATATTTCTAACAAATGATTGTACCTCGATGCCAGGCTTCTTGATAACGTAAGCAAGAGGATGTTCATTGTCTAATGCATGAGGCACCCCTATTATTGCAACTTCTAGCACTGCTGGATGTGATATTAACGTATTCTCGATTTCTGCGGGAGAGATTTGCTGACCTTTGTACTTTATGAGTTCCTTTATTCTGTCGATAATGAACAATTCTCCATCTTCGTCTATATAACCGATATCACCCGAATGCAACCATCCTATTTTTTAAATTTATTTTTATGCCATTATATTTTTATAATTATATTTATATTATTATATATATTTTTGGGATCTAATGGAATATAATTGATTTAGTTTTTGCATATGTTAAATTATAATTAATTTTTTAAAAATATAATTATATTATTACTTATTATTACGACAAATAAGATTTACCTTCCTCATCAATTATACTTTTTGTCGCTTCAGGATTATTATAATAACCAGTCATAATAGTTGCAGATTTTATCAATATTTCCCCCGGTTGATTTGATTCAAATATTTTCCCGCTTTCAGGATCCACGATTTTTATTTGCACATTCTTGGCTACGACTCCATTAGATCCATTCTTATCATGTGATTGCGGCGATGTTACAGGACCACCGGTTTCTGTCATTCCTAGAAACATAAAAAATATAATTAAAATTATATCACTATAATATATGTTAATATCTTATTGCCTTTTTTGTATTTACCGTAACCTTGCAATATTTGGATGTTTGAAATATATTTCAGTTCTTCCTGCACTTTTTTATTCATAACTGCACCACCATACAATATAACTTTCAGAGATGATAAAGGATATTTCTTTATACAACTCGATTTGAGAAATCGACTCAGTAAACTTGTGCTTAAAAAAATAACTTCTATCTAGATAATAAAACAATATCATATTTTGAATTCTGTTACATATCATGCGCAAACTTATAAATATAAAACTAATCAGGTATCTAATTTATAATGTAAAGAAGTAGATAGATATCATTATAAAACATTGTTATAATATATTTTTTCTTAGTCGTTACAATTTGCACTTATGTTAATTGGCAAGATGTTATATATGCTATTAATTCATCAAAATACAATCTGGTATTTACAGATGCATTAAACGAGAAATTGATACAAAAATTAATATAATTATTTTAATAAAAGATAAGTTACATTACATAGAAATCACATCAGTTATTAATTTAATTTAAAAACATTAGACTATATTTAAAAAAAATCAATTTATCAACTTCATTATAGAACTCGCGAAACAGTAAAAATTAAATTGGAGTAAAAATTTACTTATAGCAGAAAATTATTTGCTACTATTTACATTAGTGTGAAACAATTTAGTTATATTATTTTTAGAAAATATAAAAAATTAAAATAATTCCACTTTAATTATTCAATGAAACTAAAAATAAAACTTTTTATATATAACATAATATTACTTGGTATTTCTCGATCAGTCGACAAGTCATCTCCTCATTAAATTCAGGATAGATGATCACTTTGCCGCCTTGCTCGATCGTAATCAAGTTCAGGAATAGCCCACTAATCCAATAAAGAGAAGAAAACCAAAGAAGTACCATGTCAACCGAGTTAACACTTTTATTCTGACTGGTATATGACGTAATGAGTGCATTCATCGCCTTTTTTCCTTCCTGAAGTGCCTGATGAACATAAAATACATGCCGTCTTTGTGATGTCAACGTGGTCGATGTGATGGAAATTTGCTACTTCTACATCGCTGCAATTACTCAGAATATCGGAGAACGAAATCGCGTCAACATGCTCGCCAAAAACTACTATCACGGGACTGCAATTCTGTTCCTTTATCGCGCTCAAGATGACATCTATCGATTTCTCGCTGCAGAAGATTATCTTCGGCATCATCATTCGCAAAACGTACAGCGTAGTTTCTAATAATAAATAAACTGATATATAATTAAAAAAATAAACATTGCCTTAATTATAATATAAAGATATTTTAAAATAAGTAAAATTATATTTGCGCGTATTTTACTGGAAATATATTAATTATTTTTAATTTTATTGTACATAACATGGAATATTGTAACATTTAACAGTCGCAAAAGAACTTACTTAGATTCATGTTCTCGTCCCATGGATTGAAAATCACGTTGATATAAGCTGCTGAAAGACAGGGCACGATGGCGTTGTAATGATTCCCTGTACACACACTGATGACATCGTCAGATTTGATTCCTTGTTTTTGTAGCCACAAGGCGCATCTCACAACTTTATCTTGTAACTCTGCGTATGTGACCGACTTTTCAGTGCATGCGTCTAACTGCATAGTATTATTATAAAAAATGTTTCAAAACAATAAGGAATTAGTTATATTGCAGAGTTATTAGCTTGCTATTGAAAGAATCATCTATAAATTCCAAAACATTTTTTATTGATTAAAAGAAGAAATTAAATTTTACAAAAACTATACATATAATTGTAAAAATGTTCAATCAGTTTTTAAAGAATTTCATTTGAATTCTCGTTTTATTTATTTATGTATTTTATTTACTATGAACTTTTTTTAATACCTATTGAATTGTATCATAAAAAATTTCCGAAATGATAGTCCCAAGATATTTATTACTAATCATTTCCGTCCGTTATTAAGTTTAAAAGTTGTTGACGTGTTTGCGAAAACGATTTTCGTTCTCTCATAAAACATTATTTTTTGAGAGGCAAAACGGCGAAGGAAACAAAAGAAAAGTTGGATAAATATTATGTGGCTAATACTCCGTCAGATTACACCGTCAAATATTGGTTTCGAGAGTTTCGTGGTGGCCGCAACTCCACTACCGATGAAGTCCGCAGCGGCAGGCCCTCCGATGCGGTTACCGAGGAAAATGTCAAAAAAATACATGAAATGGTGTTGGCTGACCGGAAAGTGAAGGTGCGCGAGCTAGCAGATGCTACAAAGATTAGTACTGAGCGAACACGCCATATTTTGGGCGAGATTCTGCATAAGAAAAAAATTTTTTTCATTCCCAAGGAGGTTACTTTTCACCCCACCTAGTATATATATATATGTAGTACTAAGAAATATATGTTGATATAATTATTTCAATTACTGCGAATTTAGGCTCTTAATTGCCCGTTTTCATTTATTGTTTAAAAACGATTTTAATAATGTTATAATAAGAGTTTTATTTATAATAATTTTGTTAGTGTTATGATTAATTCTGCAATTATTTTAAAATTATAATTAAAATGTTTTCCATTTTATACGTCGTAAAACTTTGATATCAGCTATATCGCGACTTCACTAATCAGCGATTATCGGCAAATATCGGGTGCGTTCCACATGAAATACATGACATTTTATTCTTCTTTATTATTTGGTGAACAATAAGGACAAATGACGCATCATGCATTTCATGCATATTTCGGAACACATCTATCATATAGATCTGATTTTGTTATCGCAATCTTTGATGTTCATCTGTTAAATTTATATTTCAATTGTTTTATAATTTTTCTCTTACACTTGCTTAGTTTTCTAATTGTTTTGAATAGTATTTTGAAAATCTTCCATGTCTTATTTTAATTAATCTGAAATATTAGGTGTTGGAATTAATTCGTAGCGTTTTTTAATGAAAGAATGTTATTTATTTCACATGAGCATTAAAAAATACATTAATGAAAGTACTTCCCATCACTTGTAAAACGCTACGAATTAATTCCAACACCTAATAATATTTTATTTCATTCGAATAAAAACAAAAATTGAATAAGCTAGTTTATAATCTTTGACAATTTATATTTGTAAAGTACATTAAACTGTTTTAATAACAGAATCCAAACTTTTGACATTCTGTTGGTGAATTCTTTAAATATCTTAATCAAAGACTTGATTGAAGATTTAATCTAGTAGAGCTTAACAGCTTATCAGTTTATCACTGTGTAAACATTTTAATTTATCGTAACTTATATACTTATCATCTTTAATATTAAATATCTATTTTTTATAAATCTTTTCTCTTATTACCTACTTATTATAGATACATAAATTTTAAAGTTTACATTTTTTTCTAGTAAGTTCTACATATTAATATTATATTATACAAGATGTTCTGCGAGCCACTTTTGCCAAACGCTTTTTGTAGATAGAGTAGTCTAAACTGAGTCAAAAAATTCTTTATCATTTTGTAATTTTCTCAATGGAATGTTTTAATACCATCTTTTTAATATTTTCTCATGTTGGTAAAAATAGTTGTCAATAAGAAAATGCAGTACTAAAAAGTTGATCAAAATTTCTGAAAAAATCCTTAGAGCTCTATGAGGAAAATATAAATTTTTGCTTCATGTTGTTTTTCTACGAAATTGATAATATTTGAGTAAAAAATTATTGAAGACTAATATTCGGTAATTTTTAATAATTAATATTTCGTTAACCATTGCGAAAATTGCGAAATGATAGAGGATTTTTCGACTCAGTTTAGGCCGCTCTATCTACAAAAAAGTGCTTGAAAAAGTCTCACGAGACATCCTGTATATGAAATTGACTCACGTGTGCAATTTTTTCTCCATTTCTTCTAATGCTGTGCCACATCACATTTCCGAAACACTTGTATTTATTCATATCATCATATGTTACTTGCCCCTTATAAATGCCATTTTCCACAGTGAAAATCTGTAAATAATAAATTAGATTGTTTTAATTGTTTATACTTTTGAACACAATACTTTTAAATTACGTATTTTTAATATACATATTTAACATTATACAATCATGGTTTTTTTATGGAATATAACATGAAAAAATTAGCTACATCAATAGATGATTACTATGTAATTTTATACTTACCATTGATTCATTAACCATTTTATTAGAAATATCTGGATCTTTTATCGTAAATATAAGATTCTGAATGTGCTCCAATAATATCACTTTACAATGCTGGATCATAAATAGAACATTTTAGTTATTCTAAATGAGCGAACTAAATTGAACTATCAAATTGTGTGAAATGTGTGTGTTGGAAAAATGTAATAAACACATATAAAAAATAAGAGTATAAAAAACCATAGCACAAGTTATAGTTTGTGATATTTAATTATTATTACATTAATTAAAACATTAAACGTTTCGGCCACAATCTGGCCATCTTCAGTAATTCAATAATATTCTTAAAACGCAGAGTTACATCTAGTTGACATTAAATTCAACAGTCGAGAGTTGTAATTGAATAAACATGTTCTTTTATATGTGAAGATGCTTCATACAGTAATGTTACAACGCCAATTGTCATATCAAGAAAAGTGTAGAACAAGAATTTCCACATTCTGTTTTACAGTAAAAAAACCAAACGATGAATCTCGAGTATTTCTTTTACACAATTAGAATTTTGTCGTGACATTATGTGTTGTTATTTTGTAAATGTAATAAACATTTATAATTTTCTGCACACTCTCCATTTATAGAAATTCTGTAATATAAAGAATAAAATATGAATGAATTATGTTTCTTAACTTATTATTACATACTTTCACTAAAATTATTATAGAAAAAAAGACCTTATTTTTTCTTAATCTTTAATTTCTTTAAATTTAAACTCCAAACTTGGATTTTGATACCATGAGTCTAATTTTTTGCATTTCATTAATAAGTTTTACAAACATTTGATCACGAACTTATATATGTTTAATCTAGTGCTTAACTTTTAGAATACATTTTTCTATTCATTTTCTATTTGTTAACGAAATATTAATTTCTAAACATTACCGAATAAGCGATTGCCGAATCACATAATGTTATTCACATAATCCTATGATCAAAAACTGAGTCGAAAAATCCTCTACTATTTTGCGACTTTCGTAATAGTTAATGATTGGGCGGCTTATTCGACAATTTTTAGAATTAATCAATATTTTATCAATCATTAAAATTGCAAAATTGTAGAGGATTTTTTGATTCTTTGATTTAATTTTTTACTTCAAAATTTATAAAAAAGATATTTACTATAATCACAGCATATTAGTTATTATACAAAACAGTAATAAAAGTGATTAAAAAGATTAGTTTTTTAACAATTAATATAATTATATCTGCATATTACTTATTGAATTTTATTACAACATTAATTAAGTTTTATTCTATAATCTTTATCTTTGTTTAAATTGTATAAATGTTGATTTTATTATATGCATTTATTGTATGATGTATATATTTACAGAAAAGTATAGAACAGACACATGTAACAAAATACTTGCAATAACACTAGCAATTGATCTGAAGAGCTATTGCAAGTCGCTGGAACCTAGAATTGAATTACAATATTAATAAAACAACATAATCTTTTGAACATGAACTGAAAAACAATATAATCGATATAACCAGTTATACCGTTCTTAATTCCCATTCGATATAAAAATAGCAATCATATAAAGGAAACCGAGGCATTGTGAATCAAAAATTTATACTCTTAAAAGTATTTAAATATTAGGTGTTGGAATTAATTCGTAGCGTTTTTTAATGAAAGAATGTTATTTATTTCACATGAGCATTAAAAAATACATTAATGAAAGTACTTCCCATCACTTGTAAAACGCTACGAATTAATTCCAACACCTAATATAAAAATTTTATAATGCATAAAATTTTTTAAAATTTAATAAGGATATTCAGTCAAAAGACTTAGTTTTTAAGAAAAAATTAAAATATATTTTTTTAAGAAATGGTGCCCAGGGTATCTCATACTCGGAGTATCATACCAAGTCACATATAAAATAGTAGTACATATTATGCAATAAATAACGGTTGAAAAGTATTTTCAATTAACTTCCACATTCTTAGCATAGTCACTAATACTATAAAATATAATTACAACTAATTATTAAAAAATAACATATAAATAAATAACATTAGAAAATTATAAGAAAACAAATGAGAAATAACCATTAATATAAGATAAAAAATTTATTACGATAAAATAAAATTATTTGCTTAGAAGTATAAACTGCCCTTTTAGTACATACATTTCTATATTACCAGTTTCATTATGAATATTTAATGCAGATCCCATAATACCACAATTATACATTTAATTGTACATTTAATAAAAAATAAATATTAGATTATTACTTGTAACGTAATAAATTGAGAAAAGATGCGCAGAAAATTGCACCTTATCTACATGTATCTTCTATTATTATTACAAAAATAATATTAAAACATTTTTATGCAGTTGAAAAGTTACTATTGCACCATGAAAACCATTAATGATCGATATAATAGAATTTAATCACTGCCATCGAAATAAAAAGTATGAGCAACGAAGTAATAGTATTAATTGTATCAGTAGTATTAATTTAAACATTCTAGATTATGTCAATTAATGACCCATGGTGCCTCGGTTTCCCCTTTATATTATGTAATAACTAAAATAAATTATTTATTGGTATGAATATCGGTATGACCAGTTATATCAGTATTCACATCTAGCAATTTAAGTACTTGTAACTGGTATAACCAGAATGACCGGTTATACCGTTATATATGTGTGTGTGTATATATATATATATATATATATATATATACACGTATATATATTTATTAAATTAGACACTTATTACATATCATAAAAAAAATATTGGTATACTAAATTATTAATATTAATCTTTCTATTATTAATACAAAATTATATAAAAATTATCGTTAAAATTTTATGAATAATTATGAGATTATGCAACATCTATATGCAAAAAGTGTTACTATTTATAATTTAATTGTTTTTTGCTAAACGTTTAATTTTTATTAATTTTTATTGTAATTTTAATTATCACTGATTTTTAATTGTTCCTAATTTTAAATAAACTTGAATGTGTTAAAATTGCATCATGATCCACAGTTAGACCCTAGAACTAGATGTGAATCGTCAATTATAATTTCGTTATACATATTACGATATGCATGTGCAAATCATTTTTATTATTCTTGTGGGATGTAATAATGCCCAAAGAATAAAGAATTTGGTGAATTGATCCGCATTTAGTACGTGGAGTTTAATTATGGATAATTGTCATTATTTTATTTAATTTCAATTAAAACATATAAAACAATAATAAAATAAAATAAAATAAAATCATCCATAATCTTTATAAACAATAAAAAGAGCATTCAATTACACGCAGGATACTTTTGTAAATGTCATATATTTTAAAATTGTACGTTAAAATCTGTAAACTTATAAACGTTTCGGCTATATTATCAGGTTATCTTCAGTATGTTATATAACAAAATCAATTATAAATTAAACAATAATACCTAATAATAATAATAAAAAAAATGGCCTGATAATAGCCGAAACATTTATGAATTTATATTTTTAATGTATAATTTTAAAATATATGACATTCGCAAAAAACATTCTGTGGCTGAATATGGCTCCTTTTATTTATTGTTTATATTTAGTAAGCCACTTTTAAATTTATAATTTTTTAAATCTTTATGATTAATCATAATTATTTTATCATAACTATTTCAATCATTTTATTAATTTATTTTATTAATTTTTTTTTTAATTGTTTAATATTGTTTTGAATAAAAAAATATGAATTCTTTTAAAAGAATTAGTTTCACAACTAATAGTTTTAGGTTTTCATACCCTATGTACTTACGAATAATATTTGCAAGTCATTTTTTGAGGTAATCATAAATAAATTTTTGTAAAAGTTTAGTTATTTTTTAAGTTAAAAAAATATCTTACATATAATAATAATAATATATATATCAATAATTTATTCGTATTACTGATATTATTGAAAAATTATGTGCATACTGCTATTATGAGAATTTTGATTATAAATCCGTATATTTGATCTTCAATACCGGTATTTATTAAAGGTTTTTGAAATATCGATATTATAAAAAAAGTAGATATATATATGATACCGGTACACACATAATAACTAGCAATATTATTTTAGTATTCAATTCCTCTTGAAATGTAACTACTAAAAAACTACTACTACACGCGACTACCAATTAATTTAGTAAAATATTATAAACAATATATAATAATTAGATAGAGCCACAATAGAATATTTTGTTTATGTATAAAAAAAGATTTAAATATACATATTTATACATATAAGATGCACTATATTTTTTATTGTAAATGTTAAGGTATGTTGTATAATGAGAAAGAATGTTGAAATTTGAAATCGATGTCAATTATAACGAAGAAGATTCCGTAAATAATGAATAGAAAAATGTTTTCACTACTCAAAGATTATTTTCTCAAATAAATATCCACTGAATAAATAAATATTCACTGAACAAATAAAACAAATAAATGATACACTTATGGACGTAAGCCATATGGTTGTAAGGCCTAAACTATACTACTAAAAGCATTCGCTGTCATCTCATGTACAGATATATCTGTGATATCCCTCCCATTAGATATTTAAGCTGGCCGCACACGGTGCATGATTTCCTACATAATGGACTTACATACTGCTGTGCCTGTTCTGATGCGTGCTAAACATCTTGGTGCATTGAGCGAAATATATTACCATCCTTAATTTTTGTATTTGATATGGGGCATTATTTCATGTTGCTGTCTTGTTTTCTTGCACGCATCAATCAAAAGTTAAAAATCACTCACATGATTGATTGGTGTCATGCATATGTGAGATGTAAGTTAGGGTCACCACGGTTGCTATCTTCGTATGATGACTTTTATGTAAGCCAAGCAAAGTAACATGTATTGATCAACATGCAACAGAGTAAACATGAAAATCATGCATCATGTACAGCCAGCTTTACCTATAATCTCTCATAAATCACGTAAGTCTAGTCACACGCGCACACACACACACACACACGCGCGCGCGCGCCCACCACGTAAAGCAAACTATAACCTTTGTTGAATCATTATTAAATTAATTGTAAGATTTCTTAACTATTCAATATTTCTTAATAATTATCTTAAAATATATATTCTTAAAATAGATAATCATCGTTGTGTTTATTTTTAATATTACTTAATGTATTTTCTATGTCAGAATTACAAAGCGAAACTTAATTACATAACATTCTGCATTTAACAGATTTTTAAAATTCATTGGAATAATAGCGAATTTTAAATTAGAATAAGTTGAAAAATCGCCTCCATATGTGCTGCGTGAGTGAGAATAATGTTCTCGGCCTTCACTAAGATCTTGAATTTTAGATTCAGTTTCACAACTCACGGTTCGTTACATAATTGAGATTCAATCTATATCTCATCTCTTTCCAAATGAAAAGAGATAATGAATAAGTTGAATCTTGATAAAGAATCAAACATGAGTTGTAAAACTGAGCTTTAAAAGTGAAATAAGAACAACCTTGTTTACGTTTCAAGCCATGAATACGCCTCATTAATATTAAAACCTGATTATTATATTTTCAATTTATTATTGTATTTAATTTATTTTTTAACAAATACTGAAATTAAAATTTTATTGATATGCTCAATAAATATAATATTGATTAAGATCTCGCTTACAATTTTCATAGATCAAAGTTCGTCATATTCAGAATGTGGTTATTATGTTTTAGTGCATTAACATGCTATAATTAATGTGTTACACATACTACTAGATGGGGTGAAAGGTAACCTCCTTGACCGCCAGAATGCGCCACTACTGCAAAAAAGTTTATGGTGCCTTGTAGTCCGTTCATATTTAGGCAGACATGCCAAGTGGCAGTGCGATACTGCCCTTAGTTTTGTTTTGAGAGCTGATTGTTGTTGACGTGTTTGCGAAAACGATTTTCGTTCTCTCATAAAACATTATTTTTTGAGAGGCAAAACGGCGAAGGAAACAAAAGAAAAGTTGGATAAATATTATGTGGCTAATACTCCGTCAGATTACACCGTCAAATATTGGTTTCGAGAGTTTCGTGGTGGCCGCAACTCCACTACCGATGAAGTCCGCAGCGGCAGGCCCTCCGATGCGGTTACCGAGGAAAATGTCAAAAAAATACATGAAATGGTGTTGGCTGACCGGAAAGTGAAGGTGCGCGAGCTAGCAGATGCTACAAAGATTAGTACTGAGCGAACACGCCATATTTTGGGCGAGATTCTGCATAAGAAAAAAATTTTTTTCATTCCCAGGGAGGTTACTTTTCACCCCACCTAGTATTTAATTTCAGAGATAAAAGCGTGCTTTTATAATATCCCGAAATTTTTAATTTAAAAATTTGTTACATAATTTTAACATTTGAACAAAAAATTTAAAAACTCGACAAAATATTAAAAATCCGTTATTTTGTTATTAAAGTGCTTCGAAAATTTCGGAATAGCTCTACAAGTCGCAGAATATGTCAAAGATTATAATGTAAAAATTTGAATAATAAATATTAATATCCGGCTGAGATTTCGCGAGTTGAAATGCTGCCGTTCTCCCGCTACTTTTTGCGATTAGCAACATTATATAATAGTAGCAACATTTTTTCCATGTAATTTATCAAATTTTTGTTTACGTGCCAAACACAAACGAAAATTAACAAATATATTTACATAATAAACGATATTTTTGTAACTAAATAAAATATGAGAAATATGAAAATCCCAACAGGATTTAATTTCCGGCTTATATTTACGACTCAACAATTTTTTACACATTATGAAATTATTAAAATTATTCAGAATTTCGGGGGGGCTGCAGCTTCTTCCCCCCCTCCTTGGCTACGTCACTGACTCGTGCAGTACATTAGTTTATCTAATCTTCTAAATCATGCTTAGTTTTCTTGGAATATTCACTATATAAATATTCATACGTCATAATACTCTGCTATTATATTATGTATGT